GATGATTTGGATTTACGAATGAGATTTGATATTTCAGCGACAGTGGAAAGTTCGAAGCTGGATAGTGGAGAGGAGAGGGGAGCATACGGAGTTGAGTGAAGTGATGTATAGCTAGAGGAGGTCAGTTGCTGGTGAATATTTTTGATTTTGGCATTGAAAAAGGTCATGAAGGTATTACATTGAGCAGTTGAATACAGGTGGGGTGCAAGAAAGTCCGGTGGTTGCAGAATGCTGTTGACTGTAGAGAACAGGGTTCTGGTGTTTCCTTCACCTGACCTAATTAAGTTGGCATAGTATGCTGATTTAGCGGAGGAAAGAGCATCCTTATAGACGAGTATGTGGCTGTTGTACATGTCCTTATGAACTACAAGGCCAGTTTTAGTATACAGGCGTTCAAGACGACGACCTTTAGCTTTGAGCTGGCGTAACTCAGGTGTATACCAGGGGGCAGAGCGAGTGAAAGAGACAGACCGGGATTTCAGAGGTGCATGTATGTTTAAAAGGTTATGGAGTCCATCGTTGTAATGGGAGACCAGCTCATCGGTGGTGGATAGGCAGTCTTTGCAGGTGAGGTTATTCATTCCATTAGAAAAAGCAGGCGTGTTGATATTCTTAACGTTACGGAATGAGATGGATACTGACATATTTGCTTTGGGTAGTGTTAACTTGACATTGAAGGTTACAAACTTGTGGTCAGAAATGGGCAAATCGAATGCAGAGCAGTTCAGAGGAGTTACACCAGAGCAGCAGATCAGATCAAGTATATGTCCTTTGGAGTGTGTGGGAAAGTCAATATATTGCTGTAATCCAAAACTGGAGATCCATAAAACACCAGCTAGATTTGACTGCTCCACTGTCAACAATGGCACCGAGGTAAAGCCTAGAAATCCTGTATTTAAAAAAACACAACAATGTTTCAAACAGTGAATCAAGCTAAAATAGTGTGGGATCCTCGGTGCAAGCCGAAGGGACTATTCAGTGGACATTTACATTTCCGCAGCATCTGCAACAAACATGAACAGCTAGAACATCTCCTCCTTGAGTCCAATATTGACTGTTTGGGAATATCTGAATCTTGGCTAAAACAGTCGTCACCATCCACTCTTGTATCTATGTCAGGATAGAATGTGTTTAGGAAGGACATACTGAAGGGAAAAGGAGGGGGTGTGTTGCTTTATGTAACGAATACCTTTACTTGTAGGGAGATTGCACTCCCAGCCAATATTGAATTTGATTGTGTGGAAATCACACTATCTGAGGAAATGTCCCTCACCATGATTTGCCTGTATCGACAACCCACCGCTAAGGTGGATTTCTATGACAGGTAAAACTCCTGCTGAATTCCTGTGATTCTAACAAAGAGCTAATTATCCTAGGAGACTTTAATATCAACTGGAATGACAAACAAAATATAAAGAGCTTAAAACGGATCATGGATAATCACAACTTAATACAACTAATGGATCAACCGACTAGAATAACCAAAACCTCCAAGACTATGATTTATTATTTACAAACAAAGCTGACAGAATAGTTAAAACATACAACTTCCTGACCATAATCTTGTTCTTTTTGCCAGGAAACTCACAAAAAAAAGGTTCATGGCCGCACCTAAAACCCCTGCCTTCGGTTCACGCTTCATCCCCAAAAACCTGCAACAACATTTTATGGAGGCAGTGAAAATGATTGATTGAGGAGACACTCTGTCCTCTGAAGACATTGGTGAAAACAGTAATCTGTTCATATCTAAAATGAATGATACATTGTCTTCCTTCTCAAGAAAAGGGTGCGGGAAGGAACATCAACCCTGTTGGGGTTCCACAAGGTTCCATTCTTGGACCATTACTGTTTTCACTGTATATTAATGACTTGCCTAATGTATGTCCTGAGTTGAATGTGCAAATGTATGCCGATGATGCGGTCATCTTTGTACATGGGAAACACTGAAATGATCTCATCCTGTCTCTCAAATGCATTGGACAAGGTTCAACACTGGCTGAACAACATTTGCTTACAGTTAAATGCAAAACAAACAGTATGCATGATGTTCAGTAAACGACCAGTCAAAATCGAAGGATCCAATGTGTTTTTAAACAGAGCAGAAATAGAACTAGTCCCCCACTTCAAGTATCTTGGAGTCATAATGGACTTAAACTTGACTTTTAAGAAACATATTAAGAAAGTATCAAATACCATTAAATTCAACTTGCAACATTTTAAACAAATTAGACCTTTCTTAACTGTCAATGCTGCAGAGTCATACCTCCACTGCATGATTCTATCCCACATTGAATGCTGTTTGACAAACTGGTTGTTTGCTTGTGCCACAAACCTAAACCAATAGAACAGCTGTACAAGAGAGCTATCAATGTGTTTGACAGAAAGCCACATTCATACCACCACTGTACCATCCTTGAGACACACAATTTATTGAGTTTTGACCATTTTAAGTCTTTTAAAAGTATGTGTTTTCTTTATAAATGTTTACATGGACTGCCCCCCCCTCCCTTAGGGGAATTCATCCACAGAAAAGACACTGGACGCTGCACTAGGTCAGAAACCAGAGGAGACTGTGAAGTCCACCGCAGAAGGACCACTTTCAGACAAAATGTTATATCAATTAAAGGCAGCTCATTGTGGAACAGCCTCCCAACTGAGATACGGGATTGTCCCACTTTGAACAGTTTTAAAGGTCAACTCAAAGAATGGTTGAGAAACAAACAGACGTATAATCACCGCTAAATGCACTTTAACACAGGGGTATCTCCTCCTGCACTTTATGTAGCTCTTTTATCTTCTCCTGCACTTTATATGTCGTAGCTGCTACATTACTGCCATGTGTTTACTGCTTGTGTGCTGCTCATGATCTTTCTGCATATCATGTATTTATTTGTTGCTATGTATATAAATGTCAGGTTCTTAAAGGTGGGGTAGGTCATTTTGGAGAAACCAGCTGGAGTGCGCTAGAATTTGAAAATACACAGCCAGAACAAATCTGCCACTTCCTCACAGAGCCCCTCCTCCAACACACACGAACGCGCACATGACCAATGAGAGCACGAGATAAGTTTGTGCACAGATGGAAGGCTGACAGGCAGGTAGGCCATCCAGTTACTTTAGCCGGGTGATTGGTCGTGCTTTTTACAGAACTACAGCTTCCACAGATGATATTTTTTAATGGATTTTTTGTCAAAGCACTTCAGATATTCATTGTTAGCAGGATGTTAAGAGCATTCCATGGAATATAACAAAAAGTGTATCTCGAGCATGTTTACGTTTTAAAGCATTATTTGTTTTAAATGTTCATCAATATGCATTGTCCCTCTTCAAATAAACGATTAACTGAAATGAAAATACATGATGTTTAAAGTAACAATTTTGCCGATGGCGATATTACTGTGTTTTTTTTGTTGTTATTTATTACACTTTTGTGCCAGGAAAGCAATAACTAAATGTGTTTTTAAAAAACATGAACTGTTTTTCAGGCTTTTTTATTAAATCTCTTTACTTTGCTGTACTATTACCTACTGATTGAGGTGATTTCACATTCCAACAGACAGTGGTTGCTTTTCATTCTTGTTTTCCGTCATTAATACCCCACTGGTGAATGTCCGAAGCTTTTGAGTTTCTTAAAAACGGCGGTTGTGACCATCCGACCTAATGGTACTACTAAACTTTGTAGCGGTGGTGATGTGAAATCATGCAGCCGTCATATAGTTTGTTTGTAACTAACCCTAACCCTTTGCTGTGTTTGTGTTTTGTGCTGAACTAAACATGTCAGTATGCTAAACATGTGGTGGTCTTATTTTATGCGACATTCCAAAATCTAATAAAAAAATCTCCATTTTATCGTGCTAACTCCTAGGTTGACCTACAACACAACAATACCACTTCCTATTAGCCCCTGACCTTAAATGTAACAACTGGACAAAAGAGGAGGGTCTCTGGGTGAGTCGGGGGCCACAGCGAGTTCAGACAGGTCTGTTATAACAGCTGGACGGAGGGCTGAGCGCTGACAAGACAGCAGAGGCTTCATGGTTACAATGACTTCAGATATAAAACCTAAATGCATGCTTTCATTTTTCAGAAAGGCTGCTTCAATACATTCTTAACCTTTGTGGTGCCATTCAGTCAACTGTGCAGCTTTTACCCTCTGTCGTTTGATCTGTTTGTAAAGAAAATCCCATAAATCATCACCTAAATCTTGGATATAACCTCTTGTTAAACCTAATTTCTGAGTAAAATAGGCAAACACATTTGAATAATCTGACTGAAGTTGAGTTTACAAGAACATATCTTGATGGATTGTCACAGACTGGTTTATGTCAAAGTTTAGTCAGTTTTGAAACCATTTCAATTGTTTTCTATTGCAGCATATCTAGACATTTAAATGAAATAAGTCATCCTTCTTTTTCTTGTGAAGAAATAAAATGTTCTTGTGACAACTAGATGAAATAACCCCTTATTTTCTCATAAAAACATTTAGAAATGTGATTTTGGCTCCCTAAAACACTACCTATATGCGGTAGTGTATGTTCCTGCACTCTGAGTCCACTTCCTTCCCACTGTACTGCTGTTAGCCACATTTAAGGTTCCTTCAGCCATGACCCTGCGGCCCCGTTTCAAATCAAATCACCCACAGCACACAGATGTGATATTCCATATCCCGGAGCTGCAGAGGCAACTCCCCTGGGGAAGTGTAGGAATCCAGCTTTCATATGAATTGTGTTCACATGCACACTCTGCATCACAACACTTACTGTAATGTTCTTAAAGCCACAGGGCACCACCACTCTGCACAAACTGCTTTCTAAATTGTCACCTTGAGTGACTTGCTGCATGCCACACATTCTTTACCTCCTTTCAACCTGCGCTGATGAGCCACATCCACACAAAAATGAAAACACACTCAGACAGGAGGAGATAGATGGGCATACACAGGTTGGCAGAAACACATGCAAACACACATCTCAGACATGAGTCAGATGTTTCCAACTTACCTACAACCATTAACGTAAACTCAAACCCTCTTTTGACTGACTTCCGGTACACCTGGTTGGGGAGATTTGCAAAGCCCACATAGCCCTCCAGGTTCCGCTGCTGAAGAAAAACACACACAATTAATATTAACGCAATAATCACACAGTATGAATAAATGGTACAAACACACATATGCAAAATTGCCTGAAATGACTATCTTTAACATAGAGTAAAGGCTTGTAACAGCATACAAGGCTTTGGTCAAAAGAGAACACACAGCATCTATGCTACTATGGTATGTGTGTGTTGAGAAACAAATACACAGCAGATTTGGAGCTGCACACACACACACACACACACACACACACACACACACACACACACACACACACACACACACACACACACACACACACACACTACACACACACACACACACACACACACACACACACACACACACACACACACACACACACACACACACACACACACACACACACACACACACACACACACACACACAACACACACACACACACACACACACACACACACACACACACACACACACACACACACACACACACACACACACACACACACACACACACACACACACACACACACACACACACACACACACACACACACACACACACAGACACACACACACACACACACACACACACACACACACACACACACACACACACACACACACACACACACACACACACACACACACACACACACACACACACACACACACACACACACACACACACACACACACAACAGAGGAGGTGAGGAAGAGGAAGTTTAGTGGACTCTGCTAAAGTCTATCACACAAGTGAAGTTAAACAGAGAAGTCATTTTATAATTGAAAAATCAAAAGGTATGTGTGGAAAGTTGAGGCTACACCTACAAAATAAATCAGGTTCAGTGTTTCCCCATACAAATAGCGGCTGTATGACTCCATCCTAGGAGCAACACTGAGGTTTATTGCCTAGTAGGTTAACACAAATGAGGAATTTGCCGGTGTATGTGGTGCATACATAAACTCAGTTGAAGAATATCAATTGTAAGAAAAACAACCACATTTTGTTAACTTTTGTCAGCAAATATTTAAAAAAGATATCATAAAGATATAGAAAATTATTTACATGAAAGACAGATATACCAAAAAATGACGTACAGTATCCTATGACAAAATGCTCAGAATAATACAATAAAATATGTGCAGTAATGTTATGAGAAGTGGAAAGCTGTGCAGATATTAAGAGAAGTATCTTCAATAAAATAAATAGAAAACAAGATAGTTTGCATAGTATGTATTCATGTAATGCATAGTGTCTATGGAGAGGCTGAGGGTAAATGGAACTGGTCCCTGGTGTGGGACAGGAAGTGGCTCTCAGACCAGGTCACAGCCCAGCCAGCTGCTCTTCCTTATCACCACAGAGGGATCTTTCCATCCCTTTCTCTCTTCCACATCACTCTATACCTCTGCAACTCCCAGTCCGCTGTCAGATAACAACCCCCCCCCCCCCCCCCCACAATCCCTGTCCTGCACGCTACGTGAGGCAAACACAATCGATGAGCTTCCTGCCAGCGAGCGGCTCTCTGCTCTGTCATGCATGGAGCTGATGGAAATCTGCCGCTCTGCACTGAGAGCTCTGTGAGATACAGGGTTTAAAGCTCCTGCAGCTCAACTTTGGACTAGTACAAATTAAAAAATAAGACAAAAATAAGAACCCATCCTTAGTTTTGAAAACTTAAACGGGGACATATTAGGTCATGTTCACACTACTGCACGAGTGTAACTGTGAATATGCCCAATCGTTATGCCCAAGCTTCTGTACTTGGAACTAGAGTTTTTGTCTGTTTGACGCAACTTTTGGGCATTATGGGTGTCACATGATGCATCATAGCAACGTTCTTAGTTTATGGTGCACTTAGTCATTACTGCTGACAGTGAATCATGGATGCATAAAGAGAACTGGGTACAGCGTTGGAGGCTGGGCCATGTCCATTCCTATTAAAGTAGACCTTCAGTACAACAGTACAGGGATGGATCTTTCAGTGATCTTCCGCCTCTACTTGGTCCATGGCACTTTTCCTTAAACCCATTCTGGTCTCGGCTCAGAGAAATGAACTCTGGACTCAGCTTTTAGAAAATTGTAAAACTTTGAGAACCTAATGATTTAAATAGGGTCTATTCAAGTGTGGAGACTGTGAAGATGTGTGACTTCTGCCCTTTGTACGTCAATAGCAAAAAATGCATTTTGGGGCCCAATGGTGTCACTTGACTAACATGGAAGTTGTATTACCACCGTTTGGCCACTATGAAAATGATGTGAATACATTCACTGTCCCCAGTTCTCTCATCAGATTCATATATTAGTGTTTTCCAAATCGTCCCCAAACTATACCTCACCACAAGACTGCTACCAACATGTATCCAGTTAGGAACGGTGATGGGAATATTACAAGGATCTTATGTTGTGTACAGCTTCTATTTCAGTGTGTCAGATATTTAATAAACACATTTAAGCAGAGATAATATCAGATTGTACTCAGTATCCAAAAATACCAAACATTGTACTGTTAAATGGATGAGGAAAAAAAAGTGTAACTGGAATATGTCAAAAAAATATTTAATGTAGCTGCTGAAGAAAACAGCTTGAGGCATGCATGTGAACACATACAGTGAAGCTTTATAGCAGCGAGGCTCCTGAATATGTCCACCCAAGAATCTACCAGTAAGAGAAACAGCCTCACCCTGGGAAACTAGACACATACAAATATTTTTTAATCACAGAAACGTGCCTTTGACCCAAAAACCGTACTTAAAGAAATGGCAGACTGATTTGCTCTGTAAGCCATTTCCATCCAATCATTACTTTTCTTTATATGATTGAATAGCAATCCATTCTTTATTATCCATTGTTTCATAAACTGTGACCAAGCACACATTAATAATGGAAGACAGTAAAAGTATGTGGACAGACAGCACTATTCCATACTATCGTGAGCCTTTGGCTTAGAACTGTGTTAGCCACCAGTTCCAACAAAGAAACATTGATGCTACAACATACAAAAAGATGTGAGGAAACCGTGATCTTCCAGCACTTTAGCAATAGTTTTGGGAACACTTTTTCCTGATTCAACATAACAATGTTGAATCCATGTGCAAAAAGTAGGGATGCTCCGATCGATCGGTCACCGATCGAGATCGGCCGATACTCACTCTCTACCGATCGATCGGTGCTCTCTAAACATGCCGATCGCGAGAGCCGATCGCATGACGTAAAATACATGACACTTTTCTCTGTGTGCGGCAAAACAAGCTCGCCAAAATGGCTTCACCGGTCTGGCATTATTTTAAGGTGTCCGAAAAAGACAGTAAAATAGCAGTATGCAACGTGTGTGTGAAGCAGAAATCCTGCAGCTCCGCCCGCCGGACCGGTAAGCGGAGCGAAACACACAAGAGTTAGACCTAACACACTTAGCTAGTTTATCTACCTCTGGAACAAGCTAAACTAGTTATACATATATTTATTCTTCACTGTCGGGTGGATATAGATACTAAGTAATTCATTATATTTGGTGGGTATCAAAGTTACCAGTATTCGTTGGCTTGCATGACTGTTTGTCCCTTGGACAACTGAGGAAATAGTTTGAATAAATGATATACTTCAAATAAAAAAATAAAAAAGCAAATAAAAACTCATATTTCAGGAAGTTTTATTTTATAGGTGTTGCCTCTAACTAGCCTATTTTTACATTTAAATTCACTCCCCTGTTTGACATACAGAAACACTGGCGGTGAGACACAAGCGACAGCAGTGGCTGTAATGGACGGTATACGTGTAAAGAAAAGGACACGATCCATTTTGCTCATCGATACTGTGATGCATGAAGCCTCACACCAGGCATATCTACCCTGAACAAGCCTGGAGCACTTTCAGCTGTTGCAATGATCCACCCACATACATGTGGGGTGTGTGTGAGATGTAACACGTGTGTTAAGGTGCTACCTCTGGTGCTCCATCCATTTCCCTTTAGCTGCACTGTGGGTAGTACAAGCAGTGCAACATGCTGGGTTGTCATGTAGCTATTTGGAAAACATTTAAGGTGCATGGTTGTCAGTGTTTAGTTATAAAAACCTATCAGTTTAATATTGCGCTTGAAAACCGTTGATAGGACGGCTCACAAAAAATGACCTCAGCAAAAATATAGATATACATTACGCCAGCATAAGCTGTAACTCTCAAAACAAAGAATGTCCCTCAGCTTTACACACTAAACTGACACCAAAGAACACGTCCCGACGGAACATCGCCTCGCGTCTCTGCGTCTTGGCCATGTGTCGCACTGGAACACAACGCAAAGACTTCAGCCGACGGCCAAGTTGCACGTACGAATTGCGCATGCGTGAGTGGCAATAACTCTCCTTACCAGCAGGCGGTGGTAGTGTGTATTTGTCATTCAAAAAGAGGCAACAACCGGAAGACAGACTGCGTGATACACCGAGAGAAGAAGAACAGACTGCGTGATATAAACAAACAAATAACGTGTGCGTTCCATTTTCCCTCTACAGCGAGAAGCTCATGGGGCTTTCCAGAACCTGTGTCGAGAGCTGGAGTTAAACGAAATCTCAGATTTGCCTTCTTAATAGTTTGTTTGGGTCCCTCACTTCAGTTTCGCTCATCATGCACTGATTCGCTAGCTGAACAGCCAATCAGAGTGATTTCTTTGGCCGACGGCCTTTAGCCGACAGCCTCGCGATTCAACATGTCGAATCGGCGGCGGAAGGTGTCGGCACGGCCGAAAAGACACGACGGTGCGGGACACACCAAGACACACCAATCTGAGTAGGGCGACACGACGCTCATCGCCGGCCCGACATCTATCGACGGCCGAAATCGGCTTGGTGTGTAAGGGACTTAAGGCCAACCTATTCTCATTAAAACAGTATTAAAACTATTTGTATAAAAGAATATACAGGCCTGTCTGGCTCATATCATTTTAATGAAGGCATGCTGCTTCTCACTTGAAATGAAGCAATGTGTATTATTTTCACTGGACATTATGACTGCAGTGCTCTGCATGCGTGTCTGGATTAGAGTATAGTGCACTATGTGTGAATGCATCTACATAGTATGTATTTTCATACTGAAATAACAAGCCCTTTTATTTACAGGGATCTGTGTCATGAGGTTTGAAAAAAAAGGGGAAAAGACGTGCTTAAAACATCATAAGCTAATGAGAACTCTAGTAATGATAGTATCAATATATTTGCATTGCTGCATTGTATGACTCATGTGGTTTTGTCTTATTAGAAATGAGAAGGAGAGTAAGGGTAATGAAAAGAAAAAGAATGGGGGATGATAGTGAGCCTAGTGAGGGAGGCTTGTCTACTGTTAACCCCTCCCCCCCTCCACACAGTGGTGATAGTAGCTGCCTGGTTCACTGACATCATCTGCATTGCCAAGTCCCCCCCCATCCAGCAGCTGATGCTGAGGCCCACTCACTGCACACATCAGCTGTTCAACTGTCCATTATCAACCTGCATATTGAATATGAATCATGTAGAAAACATTTGATCTCATAAGACTGCAGAAGGAGCAACACATCATTTAAAGCAGTGACTGTGTAACTTGTTTGTGGTAATCTTTAGCCCATTGTGCCCACTGCTCCATCACTATGCACACTGTGTATGCCCGCTCCATTGATGTGACACCAAGGATATGCACTACCAATCCCTGGCTGTATCACAGACTAATGCATTACAAACTCAAAGTGTGGTGTGTGGTCACTTATTGCTTAAGGTACAATGTAATGCACACTCATTCTAACACAGCCAGATGTGCTCTACAAAAAGGGTTCCTTCTGCTAAACGCAGGTGGGTGGGAACACCAAACTACATTCAAGAAAACAAGCAGCCTAATAAAAAGTTGTTCTCTGGTAAAGGATTATACATGTCATTTGGGGACAGGGTTTTATTGGACTTTTATCTCTAGAAATGAATGTTTTAGCAACTATACAAAAACACTGATTATGGTCACAACTAGGATGTATCTTAAGGGGATTTGGCAAAGAGAGCAAATCTCCTTTATGCTCTGATTATGAAAGCATAAAAACAACCCAACATAGCTGTCTAGGGATATCATTACTCTATGCCATAGTTTCACAAGTAATATTGTCAATGTCGTTGTGAAACCACGTCTTCAAAACATTTAAATGTATTTCCCCATTAAAAACGATCATAAATTACACCAGACCAATGCGCTATTCTGTGAAACGTCCACGAACCCTCACATAATCCTCCGTTAAAATGAAATCCGCCATTAAAATACATCATTTGTGATATTGCTTCTTCCATTTGGTCCAAATTAAACACAGTTAACACAATTATGATACAGTTTCGCCACATGACCTCACTACAGAGGTGGGAGGTGCCATTCATTTATCAAATGATGAAATCTACTGAATTACATGTTGTTAGTCAACCACATAATGCCGAATTTATCAGTAGACTATATCAATATGTTAAAAGGTTATCTTTGATGTTTCTTTCAAGTAGGCCTTTGTAAATATGCAAAAACATTTAAATGACAAGATTGTTGAAGGAGGTTGGTGCTCTCCACGCAAGAGACATCGATACAAGCACGAACCAAAACACACGGGTCCGTGTGTATCCTAATAGAGCTTTCAATTATAGCCTATTGTAATCAACAGTACTGTCAACGTTTCTAGATGTATGTTTTTGAAGACAAATGTACTTACAGCGATGCTGGGAACCGCAGTCTCTGGTCGCTCGATCATTGTTCGGTGCTCTCACAACCCGGTCTGCAGCGGACAGTTACCTAGCAGACACTGACTGACGGCCGGTAGAATGACAGAGCAAAGAGCTGTACGGAGCTAAGCTTCACACCGTAACACACGTAGTTCGGTGTAAACAAAAGGGAGACAAGTCCGTCAGCTGACCAATGAATGAGGTTAAATTACGGCCGCTGACGGATACTACAACCAGATGTAGCACAGTGAGGAAAATTGCTCCAAGGCTTCGACCACTGACTTATTCACGAGGCAGAAACATACACAGTACATCCGGTTGAATCTTTCAAAATATAAACGAAGGTTTCTCGTGATACCTCAATAGCGGTAATATTTCCCAACTTCCAAGACAGTCACCGGTGACTGCTGACGGGTTGCAACGGTGTCTAGCGCCTGGCGAACGGTGAGGTGAATTAACGTTTGGGAAATAGAGAAGGAGGACAGTGAGAACTACGCGGACTGATCCAGGTTAGCTGCCGTGGCACAAGATATCAAAGTGCAGGCGGACCGCCGCGTCGCAACCATAGTCGCAACAGAGCTTTATTTTCAAGCCAGCTTTTCCACGGGCATTTTCTAGACAATGTTCTTACCCCATATATTTTCGGGATGCTTAAAAGCATACATGTTAAATAAGTTGATGTTGTAACCAAAATATAATAATGTGTATATTATGTTAGCATTTAACAACGAAATTCCTTGGATTTCTCGATGTAATGCTAAAACTATAGTTATGTCCTCAGTGTATCTATCAGTTTAGCTTTAAAAGTGGACAAGGAACTCCAGTAGAATATTTTTTAGAGAAAGATTACTAAAAATTAACAACACAAGCGGCAGGAAGGTTTATTTTGAAATAAATGACACCGAAGTTCCGGTCTACTACTGGCCAGCTTGAGGCGGGGTCTCGTTCTTTCCTATGAGAGCTGCTCATTGGCGCATGAGGACAAAATGGCCCAACTTTTGAGAGAGCGAAACGTCACAGATTACCCATCATGCCTGGCTGTCAGAGCAGAAGAACCCGTGTGTGGTGTGAATCCATGGTGTGCACTCACAGAGCATGCACCCCTTAAGCCCCGCCCCCGGAGCTCCCACTCTCGGCTCAGTAGAATGAATGGAGACAGAAAATAAATCTAGATTCGGCTTTTAGTGCATTTTACAACTTTAAGGACATAATGATTATAATAAGGGCTATAACATAGTTCATACTGGGTAGTTTATTTAGTTTAAAAAAAAATATCCGCTGATTTACAGACGTCTCTTTCCCCATGTTAGTCAATGGGAAAAAGTATTTCTGGGCCCAGTGACGTCACGGACTGATACGGAAATTGTAGTACCGCCGTTTGGACACAACGAATATTTTCATCAGAGTCCGGCGCACTTCCTGGATGCTTGAGCTTGACGCACCGTTGAGGGACTGGATCTGTCTTCCTATTGGTCAAACACGGATGTGATCAGCCTCTGATCGTGTGAGGTCTTCACGAGCTGGGGGTGAACATTTGCTGGCTTTAGAAATGGTTGTGAATAGCGTTACTAAACAATTAAGAAAAACAGACAACGTGGCAAATGCCATACAATGAAGTAGCCTATCCAACCAGACAGATGTGCATTAATTGGAAATATACAGACATACCTCAAAATGTAATGTTGGGAAGGACAAGCATTGGCTCTGAGGAGATCTTTTTATTTCACAGGTTGGCCTGAATGTATAATCACATTTACGTAATAACCTAATGGCCCAATGGCTATCGCGATACTTGAGATCTGTTGCTAGGTAGGAAGACAATAGGCATTACTTGTGATTACGTGGTGCATGTCACACTATTAAATCAGTGTGATAGATGGCTGCATGAAAAAAGTACATCAACAAATTATCAATGGAAGCCACATTAAAGTGATTTATGAGAACGTTTCTTGTTGTTCAGCCCACTAGAACAATCCCAAAGATGTACATGCACCTGTGATCTGTCTTTGGTGACATGGAAATGAAGTGGTCTATTGGCGCACTCTAGTGACACAAAAAGCAACTGCATCAGACTTCAGCTGATTTATTGCCAAATCCAAAACTGTGAGATAGCTCAGTTAACTTTTTTTCTTACAATTATACAATGTAGCTTTTCTTAGAAAATGATAAAGGGTACTTATTTTCTTAAGCAATAAACACACGCTTGCTCAATGCATTACACTCTACTTTGGTTTGCTATGAAGAGGCTAATGTTAGATTATATTAGCTACCTTTAGATATATACAACTGTAGACAAAATTAAGAGACCTCTCCGAAATCATCAGTTTATCTGGTCACTATTAATAAATATGAATTTCAGTAACATTTAAAGTTTTGCTTTATGCTCAACACATAATTTCTCCCAAATCCCCTAGGGAATAGTGTCATTTAGATCAGTGGTTCCCAAACGGTGTGCCGTGAGGCAAGTCCGGGTGTGCCGTGGGATTTTGTGACAACCATACGTTATTATTGCAATATACAACTACACAAAAATAATTATTTAATTTACTATATCAGTACTTTGTAGGTTTATATGTACGTAATCTGCGCGACTTGCGCGTCCACATCTCCACGTGCAGTGCTGCATAAACATGGCTGAGTCAGCGATAACTTTCGAGGGGTGGAGGTATGCCCATTATTTTGAGTTCGTCCGAAGAATAGACAGGAATGTGACGGTGAGGTGCAAACTGTGTCCAGGCCAGAAGCTGTTATCCTCTGCTGTAAACACCATGTCAAACCTCAACAAACACCTGCAAAGAACACATGCTAAGGTGAAGCTACCGCACACGCTATTTGTTGTTTGTTTATATCACGCAGTCTGTTCTTCTTCTCTGTCTTCCGGTTGTTGCCTGTTTTGAATGACAAATACACACTACCGCCGCCTGCTGGTAAGGAAAGTTATTGCCACTCACGCATGCGCAGTTCGTACGTGCTCGGCGAGTAAAGTAACGAGTTACTTTATGTAGATAGTAACGAAGTAGTGTAATATATTACATTTTTTTTAGTAACGACCCCATCTCTGGAGTTGGCGTTCTCTACTCTGGTTTACATGAAGAACAACAGGAGGTCACGGCTCTCTGTTGAACAGGACTTGCGAGTGGCCCTCTCCTCAGTGCCACCAAGGATTAAAACATTCTGCGCGCCCCGACAGGCACATGTATCTCACTAATTTGTAAGTCGGCAAACATATTTACAATAGCACATGTTTCAATGCTGATTGCTGAAATGTTACATTTATAATTTGTAGTTCAGGACCATGGACAATGCAGCTTCCTTGCATTGACAGTTCTCTGTGCTGAATTTCTGCTGAGTTTCCTTTGCCTCATTTTTTATTTTGTGACCTGTCTGGTTTAAATGAGTGTGTTGCTGCTTTGATGAAGCCTAATTTGATAACGTTTCAAATTAATTTCTGAAATATTTCGTTAATAAATATTTCATGAGTAATAGTTGTCTTTATTATGCACATTTACAGATATTTTACATGATATGAGTGATAACACGTGTTATAAGGGCTATTTTGCACAATAGGTGTGCCTTGAGATTTGTACTTGTCCTTTGGTGTGCCTTGGGCACAAAAAGTTTGGGAACCACTGATTTAGATCATTCTTTTGCAGAGAATGCAATCGTTTCAGATCTCAAAAGAAGTTCACCACAATACTAACGGTTTACCTTAATTAGAGGTGAGAAATCAATATTTGGTTGAATAATCACATCAGAAGGGGCATAACGCAAAACCCGCAGGTCCCCACCAACCCGCTCACGTATCTAACAGATATTCCCCACTCAGCGAGACACCCGCTGAGAAGCCAACTCTGGTTATTGGTAGCTCTATTATGAGACACGTGAATTTAGAGACCGAAGCCTCCACAGTCACATGCATTCCGGGGGTCAGAGCGGGCGACGTTGAGGCGCATCTTAAACTGCTGGCTAATGATGTAATGATGTTAGTTTAACTTTACGCCTTCTTCTTTCGTGTAACGTTAGAGGTCCAACTCGGTGTCGTGTAGCAATGCCCGCATCTCTGGTCTTAGGTCGAAGAGGCTGGATTCCGAGTGTGGTCTATATAAGGGGCAGATGGTGATTATATGGACAGCGGTCTGCTCAGGGTCACCGCACTCGCATGCCGCACTGTCCGCCACTTTACGCCAATCAGAATGCACCAAACTTAATGTGGAGTCAGTGTGTAGTTATGCTAAAACAATGTCGGACACCGTAATCTTCTCTGGTCCCCTCCCCAATCTGATCAATGATGACATCAGTGGCGGCTGGTGGAAAATATCTTTGGTGGGGCTATGGAAATAGGGACCAAACCATACTAAGGCGGTCCGGGGGGATCGTCCCCCGGAATTTTTTTTTGAGAAATGACCCCTTATATTATCTGGTGATGTTAGAGCCACAAATTGAGGCTTAAAAATATGAGATAATCTATAATCTTCAGTGTGGTTAGCTATGAATCTTCCAAAACTGTGCAACAGTACAGTAGGCCCACACAAACTGCCGAACACTGGTGCTTTGGGAACACTCAAATGATTTAATTCCCATTTTAAAATCAGGAGACTAAATACGAACATTATGTGTGTGTGTGTGTGGTGTGGTGTGTGTGTGTGTGTGTGTGTGTGTGTGTGTGTGTGTGTGTGTGTGTGTGTGTGTGTGTGTGTGTGTGTGTGTGTGTGTGTGTGTGTGTGTGTGTGTGTGTGTGTGTGTGTGTGTGTGTGTGTGTGTGTGTGGGGTGTGTGTGTGGTGTGTGTGTGTGTGTGTGTGTGTGTGTGTGTGTGTGTGTGTGTGTGTGTGTGTGTGTGTGTGTGTGTGTGTGTGTGTGTGTGTGTGTGTGTGTGTGTGTGTGTGTGTGTGTGTGTGTGTGTGTGTGTGTGTGTGTGTGTGTGTCATACTTGCCAACCCTCCCGATTTTCGCGGGAGACTCCCGATTTCATTGCCCTCTCCCCGGGTCATATTTCTCCCGATTTCTGACAAAATCAGATTTCTGACAAAATCAGATTTACTCACGACTGTTTCCACTCGGACTTTAATACAGCTACACCATTGTTTGGTTTCCATGGTAGCGCGTCTCTTTAGCAGCGCGCGCAACTCAAAGTTTGAGAGGGTGAGGAAGATGAAAACTGAACAAGAATCGACAACTCCACCCTCTGCTCACTCCTTTCCTGTAAAATACAGGTCCAGCCCACACATATGCTCCATGGTGCTACAGGCATTGTCCTTACAACTACAATAAGCATGTAAATGTTAATCTACAGCTCTGGCGAACCACTAGCACCGAGACGCAGCCATCCTTGACAACTACTGTAGCGTCACCTTGGATACGAGTCCAAACAACTCACAGACACACAGGCCAGGGCGCTGACACCATTTACTCATAGAAGCTGGGGTTACAGTAGGTAACCTCAGT